AAATAAAATAGGATTATAATGTTCTCTACTAACCAGGAAGGAATTGACTATGTCAGAATCTTTTTCAGGATATGGTGTGTTGGCACCCAAAGCTACACAATTGGCCATTATAGTTAGTAATATAAGGTATTCAAATGGCCTAACATTTGTTAAGGAAAACTTAAAACGTGCATGTGGAGATTAAACAAGAAAAATAAATAGTTTAGAACATCATTAAAAGGATACTTCCATTCCACAATGTTAATGCAAAGTTTACGAATAGGGTTGCGTAAAGTAAGGCAAAACAATGCACGTTCTGGCCTGGTATTAGCTGATTGCGAACGAGCATGCGGTCGTTTTCGATTAGCAGTTTGTGCTGCCAACGTAAGAGCTGCAAGATTCAATGGCTTTCCTTGTTGATTGGCCGCTGCAGCGGCAATGCTCATTATCCCACCAAGACCGCTGGCTTTAGATGCGGCTGCAGCTGAAGAATTGGATAATAACGGACCAGGGGCCAGAGTAGGAGACAATGTGCCGCATATCTTGCGGGAATCCTTGCAACTACCAAGTACTCCTTCGGGATCTGAATCAAATACTTCCGTATTTCTGACATCACAATAGTAATCCATGCTGTGATCATTCAAGGATTTACACTCAACATGATGGAATTGACCTATTTCATTATAATGCTTAGTAGGCGATTGGCTATATGAACCAAATATTCCGCGAGTAAAATCTGGCTCATTATTGATTTCTCTATCATAGTCTTGCATTTTTTCTGTGTAAATTTCCCTAGTGCTATTTGCATTTGGACGGTCCATATTATGACTTGACGTCAGTAAAATATTTAAAAATAAATCAAAAAATCCAAAATTATCTGAAGCCCTAAGGAAGTGAGTAATAGGCACCAAAATATCATTTCTGAAAAAAATAAAGAGCAAGCAAATTATGCTCGATAAGTTTCAAATATCGTAGGTAAAAGCCTCGAAACCGAAAGTAAGTTGGAGTAAATATACGTAGATCATACAAACACAAAAAACTCTTAAAAATTACTTTTTGCATATTAATTATAAAAAGTTTATTAAATTTAAGCTTTTACATATTATTTATTTGTTAAATTCTTGATGATTAAATGTTTTTTGTTTATTCATTTATCTTTCATGCTTACTTCGCATTAGCAT